GATCGAGCATGTTTAACTTACACACTTCTTAATTATCCAAGAACTGAAAATACATTTTGATATATGTAGACGTCAGTTTGTCCATTACAAATATATAATCATTCTGTAATCTAATATGCTTAATTTGAATTACAGAAATATGATTAAACAATATGTCCATTCCCAGATAAATAGCAACCCATAAGGCTCTGCACTTGAAATCCTCTACCTCCAAAAACAATTCACAAGTTCCCTTAAAACCATAACAGTTTAATCTACCGATTTCCTTGTGATTTATTATATATTAACACACCCTCAGAATTTCTTAATAAGACTTAGATGCTACTGAAAAATCCCTGTGTAGCTCCTAATTGCATCTGAAAACACCAAATTCTGAAACCCGTAGCCAAAACCATCACTGAAAAGGCGAAAAACTGAAACCTGTTGAAGGAGCCGGCTCCACACAAAGTGGAGCCGCCTCCACTACCAAGTAGAGCCTGCTCCACTTTTTAATTGAGCCTGCTCTACTTGAAATAGAGCAGGCTCCTTCCCCTGTGCGTCATCTTCTCCAGTTCCGGCGGTGTCCGACATCTGTATTCCTCCGACTAAGTTTATTACTGATTAAAACTAAGTCTTAGGGTGTTCCAAAGTTAATTAAATTCATAACTTATTAACCAAATCATATGGAACAAGAATTACACAAAACTGCTTCTAAGTGGATTAAAATCCATACAAGAACACATACTGTTTCAGGTATCTAGCCCTACGACCCAGATTAATTTTAATATTTCCCACTATGTTTTAGAACTATTAAAATTCTTAATCCTTCAATTGAAATCATTAAAATCGTGAATTAAGTAAAAAAAAAACAGTAAAATCACAACACTGTAAAACAAACAATTTAACAGATCATACACATATGGTTATTAAACAATGCAAGCATGCGAACCAGATTTGTTTTAATCCTTATTTCATCCTGAGATTGTGTTAGGGATGCAAAGAACACAAGTCAAAGAGGTAGAGCTAGTTATAAAACTTGCCTGTGAGACTCGGTTCAGAAATCTCAGAGCCTTTCTTCTAAGTTTTCCCGGCGCCCCTTTGGTTTTCCTTCTCTCTGTTTCTTGTTTCCAGTATGCCGTGAATAGGACTTTTAAAGCCCTAGGCAGATGCTCATTACATATATTTATAGGTTTTCACAAAACCCTAATCCATGTCTAATTCGGCCCATAAGCAAACCTAGGATATACAATGTCGGCTGCCTATGAAAACTATAAACCCCATGAAAATATATTCACGTTGCCACCTAACTAAAACCAACTAAATGTAATTTAACTAATCTAATTAAATTTAATTTTAACTTAACACAATTAAACCCATATGTAAGACAATTAAATAAATTAACTCAATTACATGCAAGTAACCTAAACCAGTAATCAAATGCAACAATTAAATCCATCACCAATCCAATTAAATTAAAACAAAACAAATTTATTAAACAATTACATCCAATAATTAAAACCCAATTAAATAAACAATTAAATAAAAACAAATAAAATAAAACAAACAAAGAAAAACAAGTCATTTAAATAATTCACAATTAAATCAACAAATTCACAACTAAATCAATAAAACACAATTTAAACAATTAAATAAATTCCCAAAGTATCCTTGTTAAATTAGGGGTATTACATTATGTATATCATATTTAGTTGAAGATGGCACTGAACACAGAGAATGATCCTTTGATGTGCAAATGTTTTCCTACAAGCTTAGCTGGACTGGCGCTCAACTAGTTTAAGAACCTGCCGAAGGGCTCAGTGGACAGCTTCCGTAGCTTGTGTGATCGGTTCATAAGCCAATACTATGGGAATAAGCGCCCGGCAAAAGATATCTCTAGCTTGTTCACCATGAAACAGCATGATGATGAGCGTCTCCAAGCTTTTCGTACCAGGTTTAACCTAACTAAGAGCATGGTGATAGAGTGTCATCCTTCCACAACAGTTCAGGCGTTCAAGTTAGCTATGACCCGAGGGACACTATTCCATACCAATCTGATGGTGAACAACCCGAAGACAATGGACGAGCTGAATGAGAGAGCTGATGGTTTCGTGCACCAGGAAGAGGAAGAAACAGCTAATGCTAGGAAGACGTCTATCATCTCCACGGAAGAGAAGTCCAAAGCGAAGATACGGCAGAAGCAAGTTCCTACGCAGCGTCAGACCTCCTGGAAGACAGAGAAGAGACCTAGGGAGGATGACTTGGTTACTTCACTCAAAGTTACACTGGTAAAGCTATACCAAGAGAACAAAGATAAGTTTTGCCCTCCCTTGCCAATTAGACAACCTCTTGAACAGAGGGATCAATCTAAACATTGTGTTTTTCATAGTGATTTTGGTCATCAGACTAATGAATGCAGGAACTTAAGGAGACAAGTGGAGATGCTAATCGCTAGGGGAGAGTTTGCAGGGTATGTTCAAGGACCAACCCAAGAGCAGAATCGACCAATTGTGCAAGTCAAAAAAAATCAAAAGTCGAATCACCATAACACTCAGCCCGTTTGGATTATAAATGCTATTCATGGTCGACCTAAACGAGCCGAAGAGTCCAAAGAATTGACCCGAACGCATCTTTGACAAGCACAAATGAAGAGAAGAATAGGTAGTGTCAACACTTTGCACCAGCAGAGCGCATCAACACAGATAAGATTCGATATAGCGGACTTGATGCGAGTTCAGATCCCTCATGAAGACCCCCTGGTGTTAGTTTAACAGTGGCAGAGTGTTTGGTATGAAGGGTGCTAATTGATCCAGGAAGCAATGCCAATATCATGCATAGAGTCACCTTCGATCGGCTGGAAATCAAGCAAGAAGAGCTCAAGTGTACTGGGAATCCACTGTTGGGATTTGATGGAAAACGAGTTGAACCGATCGGTACAGTAGAATTGCTTGTTCGGGCAGCCGAACGGGACCTTATCGAGAGCTTTGTAGTGGTGGAAATCCATCCCTCTTACAATCTACTGATGGGGAGAGGGTGGATTCATAGGGTACAGGGAGTCCCATCGACCTTGCACAAAGTGATGAGATGCTTGGGTCCGGACGGGAACAAAGTGATTGACATCCATGGAGATCAGGTTGCCGCAAAAGAGTGTTACTCAGTGACTTTGAAAGCTGCAGGGAAAGGGAAAGCTCCCATTCGCCCAGCTATCCCACAATAGCAATTAAAGAAACCTCCCCCCGGCACGAGTGGGGAGGAGCTTCCGGTGCAAACCGAGGAACCCCTAGTTGAAGTTTAAATTGATCATTTAAGGCCAGATCGAATCACAAAGGTAGGTTCAGGGTTTGCCGAGGAAGAAAAATGTCGATTGGTTGATTTCCTCTCCCAGAATGCCGATGTATTCGCTTGGAGCCTTCTCGACATGTCAGGGATCGACCCCTCAGTCTTCTGCCATTCTCTTAATCTAGATCCGAATGTCAAGCCAGTGAGGCAGAAGTAAAGAAGTTTTACCCCGGAGCGCAACCAGATCATTACAGACGAAGTTAATCGATTGCTGGAGGCTGGGTTCATTAGAGAAGTACAGTACCCGGACTGGTTGTCGAATGTGGTTGTAGTGCAAAAGAAGAATGGAAAATGGAGAGTTTACATTGATTTCACTAATCTGAACAAAGCCTGCCCAAATGATAGTTTTCCACTTCCAAAGATTGATCAAATAGTGGATGCAACAACCGGGTATGAGCGACTGACCTTTCTGGATGCATATTCATGCTACAATCAAATCCCAATAGACCCAGGCAATAAGGAAAAGACTTTTTTTGTCACTGAACGAGGGATCTATTGTTACAAAGTTATGTCGTTCGGACTGAAGAATGCTGGAGCCACGTACCAGAGGTTGGTTAGCAAATTTTTAAGGATCAAATGGGTAGGACAGTAGAGGCTTACATCGACGACATGGTGGTCAAAAGCAGACAAAAGGACCATCACTTACAACATTTACAGGAGGTGTTCAGCGTGCTAAGAAAGTATGGAATGAGGCTGAATCCAACTAAATGCTCGTTCGGCGTGGGATCCGGGCAATTCCTTGGCCACGTGGTCAACAACAGAAAAATTGAGGTTAGTCCAGCCCAAGCGGAAGCTTTGCTAAAAAATGTTGAACCAAGTACTATCAAAGAAGTCCAAGCTCTCACCGAACGCATAGCAGCACTGAGTCTATTCATTTCTAAGTTATCCGACCGATGCAAACCATTCTTCGATATAATCAGGGGTCATGGAAAACAGTCCTGTGGGGATGAGCAAAGACAAACGCTGATCAAGCTGAAAGAATATATGCGGAACCCACCAGTCCTGAACGCCCCAGTGCCAGGCGAAAAGCTTTTCCTGTACCTTAGAGTTTCTAACATTGCAACCAGTGGTGTGCTGATATGATGTGCTGAGGTAAGCAATTCCCGGTTTTTTATATAAGCAAAACGTTGACCAAGCCAGAGAAAAGGTATTCAAAGGCCGAACGAGTAATCTTATCCTTGGTAAACGAAAAAAGGAAGCTCAGGCATTACTTTGAGTCTCATCCTATAGTCGTCCTGACCACATTTCCTATAAGGGTGATCCTGCATAAGCCCGATTTGTTCGGACGAATGACGAAGTAGGCAATAGAGCTTAGTTCTTTTGACATAGCTTATGAACCCCGAATGGCTATTAAAGGGCAAGCTGTGGCTAATTTCTTACTGGAATGTGATGTAGATGAGCCAGATGAATGCCTTGAAGAATCTTCATGGAAGCTCTTCGTTGATGGCTCCTCAAATCAGATGGGGGCAGGAATCGGAATCGAGTTACAAACACTAGAAGGCACTACACTGAGCCAAGCGATTAGGCTTGAGTTCAAAGCAACCAACAATGAAATAGAGTATGAAGCGCTGCTGGCTGGCTTAAGGTTGGCCAATGAGCTAAAGGTCAAAAGTTTAGTTGCCTTCAGTAATTCGCAGTTAATAATTCGACAAGTAACTGGGGAATATTGAACAAAGGATGAGACAATGGAGGCATACCACTCCGCTGTTATGCAAGAAGCTAGAAGCTTCAATCGGATCAAGTTCATTCAATTGCCGAGGGAGCGTAATGAAGATGCCGATCGGTTAACCTGTAGTGCGTCAAGTTCAGGTGAAACATTGGCAAGGGTAATTCCAATCGGGGTGCTATGCCAGCTATCTATCCTTGAGGAACCGTCAAGTTCGGACCCATGGCAGGTGAATGCTATACCATGTGAACCGAGTTGGATAGATCCAATTATTACGTATATACAGGATGGTATTTTGCCAAAACAGAGGGATGAAGCAAGAATGATCAGATCGAATGCTGCAAAGTATGCCATAATGCACAACCAACTTTACAGGAGGTCTTATTTAGGACCATACTTAAAATGTGAAACCCCTGCAGAAGCTCAGCAGATATTGCGGACTATCGATGAAGGGGTTTGTGGCAATCATTCAGGGGGAAGGTCTCTAACACATAAGGCGATGACACAGGGTTACTTCTGGCCGAATATGGTACGAGACGCAGAGGAATTTTCGCAAAGTTGCGATAAGTGTCAAAGGTTTGGACCACTGATCTACCAACCACCAGAAGATTTGCACGTAATGGCCAAACCATGGCCTTTCGCGTAATGGGGGATAGATGTGGTTGGCCCGTTACCGACCGCCAGATCGCAAAATAAGTACGTTCTGCTTGCAACAGACTACTTTACCAAATAAGTGGAGGCAGAACTGTATCCCAGTGTAACTCAGACCCATGTGAGACGCTTCATCTGGAACAATATCATTTATCGATTTGGTGTGCCGAGGTTAATCATCATGGATAATGGAACTAACCTTGATTGTAAGCAGGTGAGGGAGTTGCTGGACGAATATGGAATTAATCAAAAGTTAGCGGCGATCAGCCACCCACAGGCGAATGGTCAGGCTGAAATCACAAACAGAACGATCTTTGTTTATATAAAGAAGAAGCTTGAAGAAGAGAAAGGGAAGTGGTTGGATGAACTCCCGAACGTCCTGTGGGCGTATAGAACAACTCCAAGACGACCGACTCGAGAAAGCCCATTCGCCATGGCATATGGTACTGAGGCAATAATACCGATAGAACACCAAGTTCCTACCATTCAGAGTTTAGCGTGGAATCAGGAGCAGAATGATCATATGCTGAAATTCAACCTCAACCTGCTTGAAGAAAAGAGGAATGGTGCAGCAGTAAGGCTCACATCATATCAACAAACGCTCATGAACAGTCACAACAGAAAGGTGAGGCATAAGGGTTTTGCACCTGGTGATTTGGTTCTGAAAAGAAAAATTGGTATTATTAAGAAAATTGTGTCACCATGGAAAGGTCCGTATAGAGTTGCAGAGGTTATCGGAAAGGGGGCATATGTCTTAGAGACCATGGCTGGAAGGCTGGTAAACAAGCCTTGGAATGCCACTTCTTTAAAAAGGTATTATCAATAAAAATTGAGTTTCAGTTTAACCAATGTCTACCTTCAATTGTATACTTGCAAGAGAGCAAAACTTTGAAAGATTTATAAAAAAGTACCGTCTTCTTCTAAACAAGGTGACTGAGTATGAGCAAAGTCAAGTGGTAAGTGACATTCTAGCCGAACGCCAGGCACTTAAGCAAAGTAAGTGGCAACTGGCACCACGAGCCGAACGCCAAACACTTGCTAAAAAATAATGAAAAAGCCAAGTGGAAAGTGGCATTCTAGCTGAGCGTCAGGCACTTAAGCAAAGTAAGTGGCAACTGGCACCATGAGCCGAACGCCAAACACTTGCTAAAAAATAATGAAAAAGCCAAGTGACAAGTGGCATTCTAGCCGAGCACCAGACATTTAAATAAAGTAAGTGGCAGCTGGCACCACGAGTCGAACGCCAAACACTTGCTAAAAAAAATAATGAAAAAAGCCAAGTGGCAAGTGGCATTCTAACTGAGCGCCAGACACTTAAGCAAAGTAAGTGGCAACTGGCACCACGAGCCGAACGCCAAATACTTGCTAAAAAATAATGAAAAACCAAGTGGCAAGTGGCATTCTAGCCTAGCGCCAGACACTTAAGCAAAGTAAGTGGCAGCTGGCACCACAAGCCGAACGCCAAACACTTGCTAAAAAAAAAAATAAGGAAAAAGCCAAGTGGCAAGTGGCATTCTAGCCGAGCGCCAGACACTTAAACAAAGTAAGTGGCAACTGGCACCACGAGCCGAACGCCAAATACTTGCTAAAAAATAATGAAAAAACCAAGTGGCAAGTGGCATTCTAGCCGAGCGCCAAGCACTTACTAAAAGTAATGAAAAAGACAAGTGGTTGGTGTTATGAGCCGAAGGCCACACACTTGTGTTAAACAAAAATTATTATTAAGTACTACCAAGTGATGCAGAGATTCAGATCAGATGTAGTCAAAAAGTATCCTTTCATTCATATTAAGCTGAAAGATTACAAAGAGATACATAAGATGAGTACAATCAAGTTCTATCTGTCTCCTTGTTCACTTGTTCACCCTCAGCAGCCTCCCCAGGATGGTTAGCATTCCCCTCCCCATCATTGGTAACGACATTCCTGTGAGGGGGGGAGTCAAGTTGAATCACCACTTCATTCTACTGAGTTCCACCTTCAGTGGAAGTCACAAGGGGAATTACAGTAAAGAGAGGAGATATGTCTAAAGGCTGAGTGGGAGGAGAAACAGGGATAACTCCAGATGAGGCAATCCCATCACATTCTTCAAAAATGTGTTCGGCAGGAGTGGGGTCTGGATCAGCATAGACTCCTAGAGGATCAATTCCCAGCTCCTTGTCAACATCATCCAGGCCTGTGCCTGAGATTGTCTGACCCTTAGCTAGAAGGCAATCGTTGAAACCTTCTCGATATCCTTCGGCATACCTGAGGGCCCCAGTGCGAGAAAAATGACTGTGCAGAGCCATCATCCCTCCATTGACCCTGCCGATGACACCAAGCAGGGCATTACGCTCATCCAGAGCCCTCTTTTCAAAGGCCATACACTCTGCTTGTTCATCATGAAGCAGGCGCTGAAGATTGTCTCTTTCAGCCTTGAGCGCTTCGCGCTCGGTCTGCCAGACACTCTTTTCGATCTGAAGGGCGTCTTTTTCGTCTTAAAGGGAGTTTATTTCCTTCTTCAAACTATCCATTTTCCTTCTCAACCTTATCCAACTGCACCATGAGTTTAGCATTTTTGGTGCTGATGATCTTGTTCTCTTTGTGACCCACTTCAACGTCTTTGGCAAACTTTCGTACCTTAGCATTGGCAGCCTCAACATGTTTTTGCATGGCCATCATGCCAAAGAGAGTCTGTAAAACAATGCATGAGTACTAATTAAACCGAATGCATGTCTGTAGGAATTGTAATGTAAAGACATTTCAAATGCAACAAAGAGAAGGGTAGGGAATTACCTCCATAGCCGCAAGGGGAAAACGGCTGAAGACCTCCTTCTGAGATAGAGATTTGGCAACCTCAATGTCTTTGGGATCCGTCAGCTCGGACTAGTTTGGGGGTCCACAGAGCCTCTCCAAAAGAGGAACTAGTGGCATTGCTGGACCCGAAAGGAGCAGTTGGCCTAACCTGAGGAGGGATAAGCAAACCAGGCCCGGAGGTAAGAATCCTCCTTGTCAGATGAGCGTCATCAGGGTTACCTTCGCTTTCAGGCTGAGGCCTTTTTCCCCATTCTTTATCCTGAACGGATGCAATGAGGACAGTGGTACTCCGAGTTTGAGGGACGGAGTTCTGGTTAATAGGTAGAGTGGTGACGATCGGGCAAACAGTCACCACGTTCGGGGTAATGCTGGATGTGGTGGCAGATGAAGATGCTGAAGCTGGAGAAGAAGAAGCTGCGGGAGCAGTATTGACCCTGGGAGGATCCTTCCTCCTACTGAAGGATGGAATCCGAAGCTGGCTCATTGTGGTACCGAGGAGAGATATATCACTTAAATTCTCGAATGTGAGGAGTTCTGAATAGGAAGGGATGTCGTTCAGAACGTAGTCCTTCAGGTAGTTGGTCCTATCCCTGCAAATGTTATAACTAAGTTCGTTATCCTGCGGGATACCCAAAGAATTGCAAAGAAACGAACAGAATCGAGGAATGCAAATTTCACAAGGGCAATCTATCTTATGGGTTTTGAATTTCTTATACGAAGACACGGAGCATTCGCCGAATGCGGTAGGGATAGGATAGTCCTTGGCAGCCGGAGTAAACCAAGCACCCCGAACGCCAACAATACCCTTTTTTCCACCCCTTTTCAGAATTAAGCTTGTCTGTACAGATGGATTTCTTTTCCAGAGGGTAAAGATGGTAATATGCATCCTCCAGCCTAATTTTGCTGACCTTGTAACAGAGGAAAAGATCAACCAAGTCAAGATCTAGGCCTCTGTCACGATTCAGAAGTAACAGAATGGACAGAACCCTAACAAAATTGGGGTTAACTTGAAGAGGAGAAAGTTTCAACCTATTGAACACGTAGCAGAAGAAAGGGTGAAGAGGGAATCTAATAATGTTGAGGTGATGAAGGGAAAACAAGACTTCGCCGAGAAGAAGACCGGCAATAGTTCTGACATTAACGTCTTTGGGACATTCTCTAAGGTGAATATTGGAAGGAAGATAGAGCTTCATACGTAGAATATCCAAATCTATAGGCATGATGCTGATGATTATGATCTTTGGGAAAATGTGCAAATACTTTAAGAAAAAGAAACAGAACTAACCTTGAAAAGATGAAGATCAGCGAGGGATGTTGCAAAAGAATTGAGAGTGAAGAACCTTTCATTGGATTCGTCGGAGAGTATCTGGATTGACTAGAAAAATCTAAGTTGCCTTGAGAGAACAAACTGAAATCGATTGACAGTGATTTGTGGGGGGTACGACAAGGGAAGATGTGGATATGAATGAGTGGTTTATAAAGGGGAAGTGGTCCCGCTAACCAAGGCGTCAGGGAGTTAAGAAGATTCAAATTTCAAAGACAATAATTCCGAGGCCAACTGCTTGATGCCACACGTGATCATCTCGACCCGTCGAATCATCATTAGCCATCAAGTCATCATTAGGTCTATTGATAATCACACCCTAATTAATAAGGGAGTGATTATGGGGGCAGATGAGGATACCAAAGGCGGCATGGGACGGATCTAACCCATATGATGAAGAATGGGCCAGGCAAATGGCTTGGGCCCAAATCAAGCTATCGTGAGGCAAGCCCAATGCCGAAGAGTGAAGCTGAAGGCCTGAAAGATAAATAGATCAATGGATACAAAAGCCTCAATGATGAGCCCAATAGAGGAAGTTAGTTAGGGATCTTCTAGAACATTGTAAACAATCTATAAATAAGTGAAAAATGAAGAAAAAAGGGGATCGAAATATTTGAAGTGTAATGAAACTCTGTCAATTTAGAGAGAGAAAATTTCTTACATCTTCATATATATATTTACAAAACTCTCAAACTTATAGAAGTTTCTCTAATCAAGAAATTTACACAAGCTCTTTAATGTTCTAGACATGGCATGGCCAGCATGGGCCTAAGGGCAGTTGCACCCATGCTGGCCTATTAATTTTTATTTTATATTAGACATTTAATTTGTAAAAAATTATAAAATGCCCCCTCAAATTGTTATTTTTCCCTAAAAATCTCTTTAATTTTTCTTCCTTCCTACCCTTATTCTTTTTCAAAAAAAAAAAATCTTACATTTCCTTTCTTCAATCAAAACCTAATTTCTTCCCTTCAAACTTCTCTCATATATTTTTCTTCTTTTTTTTTTTTTTTTTTTTTTAAAACTTTCGTGCAATTTATATTCGATAACCTTATTCTATCTTTTCTTATTTATTTTTTATCTACTTATTCTTTAAACTTATTACTAAAATTTATACACTTAGGGCATATTTGGCAATGGCTGTGTTTTTGTAAAAATTAATGTACTATTACAACACTAATATTTTTCGATTTGTTGTGCACTATTGGGTTGTTTTGAATTATCATGCTAACACTAATATAACTTTACCTCCATACATGCACTTTGAGCAATCATATATAGACTATGTGGCATAATCTCCCTGCAAATAAGGCAAATAGAATTAAATAGATAAAAAGATTTCGAAATAGTCTGCCTTGAATATCTATTTATAATCTTTAGCAACCAATCCAGCCTTGAGCCTTTCCATTGTATCATCAAGTTATTAGATGGTAATGGTATACACGGATGAACGACTGAGCCTTTCCCTGTTTGGTTCTAGTTTTGTATTTTGCGTTTTGTTTTAATCTGAAACAAAATAAGTATTTTGATATAGAGTAATTTGAATAATAATCATAATCACATTTGACACGGATGAACGACTGAGCCTTTCCCTGTTTGGTTCTAGTTTTGTATTTTGCGTTTTGTTTTAATCTGAAACAAAATAAGTGTTTTGATATAGAGTAATTTGAATAATAATCATAATCATATTTGATAATGTTCATTTGTTGCAAGATTTTTTGAAATAAAAATATGAAAATATGTTTGATTAAAAAGTGTTGTAAGTTTGAAAAATATAATGGTTAATTTAAAAATGTTATTTAAGGGTTTTTCAAAAATAATTTAATTTATTTTTTTTATTTTCTGGTGTTTGATTATAGTAAAATATTTACGAAGAAAAAATATTAAAATTTAACAAAAATACTTTACTTATTAATTTTCGATAAATTATTTTATATGTCCCACTCAATGAATTTGTCCTTAATCTCGACCTGAACTTTTACCAAACATCAAAAATGTAAAAATAAAAAATATATATATTTTATCTAAGAAGACATCGAAACAAAGGAGGCCTCCAAGTCGAATTTTCAATTTTTTTTTTTTTTTTTACCAATTCAAATTAAAATACTCAAGCAAAACTCAAAAAAAAAAAAAAAAAAAAGACCACCATGTTGAAAGTCTTTAAAGCCACTATACACTTGTGTGGTCCTCGTAGCTAGCTGTTTTGATTTCTGAAGCTTCATTCAAACTGCTCTTTTACTTTTCGACTATATGAGTGTACAAAACTACTTTAAATAATTATTTTTATTTTTTATTTACTTTTACAACGCATTTCCTTCCTAACATACACATACATCATGGTTTACGGTTGTGATAGTGATGTAACGGATTCAAATAAATATTGATGTAAACGGATCGAATCGATCAATTTATGAAAATGTGTAATAATATCGAACCCTTAAAAAAAAAAAATTATAAACCGATCTATACGAAAAACCATGACATACACCCACATATGTATAATAAGAAAATGCTATTGGCAAAGTGCTGTTAATCTTGTGCCAACATTGTTGGAATTTTTTTTTTTTTTTTCCCATTATAATGTCGAAATATAATGTAGAGACACTAAAGGTTACTCCATAGCAATTGTGACATTCATCATTTTCGGTGTCTCGGACGGTCCAATATATTGAAAAAGAGTGTCATTTTCTTTGGATGAAATGACTAACCAAAACATTAGATACTCTAGTTAATATAAAAATTATTGAATTACCAAAGGTTAAATATAAAAAAGA